GATAAAAACCCTGAAAACTATACATTTCACACCTGAAGGCTCAGGTGTGAAATGTATAGGTGTATAGGTGTGAAAGAGTAACACCATCACTAACATCAGGTGATTACTTGTCAGAGAGTGATACTATACCCCTTATGTCAAACCGAGTGATTTATGACCACCTAGGATGATTTATGGCCCTAGGAAGTAATTAAGTAATAAAGGAAGTAATAAAAATATGATATTCATAAAAATATGATATTCATAAAAATATGCTAGTTCATAGCTCATTGCTTTTTCCCCCTAAAAAGAACTAATTGATTATTTAAGTTTCTTATATATCAAATAGCATTGTTTTATTTTTTTAATCCAATAAAAAAAAGTTTTTATTTTTTTTATGCTTAAAAAACACCATCTGGTGGAGCAGACAGCAAGAAATTTACCGACATCTCGAAAAATACAAAGCTTTAGGTGAACATAAGGACAGAAGTCAGAGGTGAGGGGAGTATTTTGAACTTAAATGCAATGAACAATCACTTAATAATAATAAGAAAAAGTAGTTTACCACCATTTGATAAAGAATCTGTCCTCCTGATATTAACAACAAGTATTATTCAGATATGAAGGTATGATGGGGGGATGATAAATAGAGCATTTTCATTTCGAGTGAAATTTATGAAAGCAAATACATGTGGTAGGTTTAGGCAGTAATCACCAGCAGGGGGCAGGGCATACCTGCAGGAAATGTTTTAATAAAGAAACGTTAATAAAAAAGAAAATTGCAACTCTTCAATTCATCTTACCCATTATGGTTAAAAAATTAAATATAGCACTTTATAGGCTGCTATTGCAACAAAAGACTAGTGATCAGACTGTTTCTTTCTTTATCAAAAGAGATGTTTAGGACAATGTAAATGGTAAATGTATAGATTGAATATTACAACTTCATTTACGTATAGAGCTTATACTGTTCATATTACTTTGCAAAATGTTTTGAAACGTCTTGCAGGTCATAACCATTTAAGTGAGAATAAAATCCCTTAAAACAGAATACTTTGTGGGTTTATATTCCCCCCAAAATTACCTGGAATGTCCCCAGGAAATATCGTGTGATGTCTCTTTCAGCTCACGTACAAACGTGACCACAAAAGCTGAAACAAATCTCTATTATAACTATACTTATTACTACATATTTAGGAATATAGGATAATTTATACCAGAACAATATAAAAGGAACTATTAAATATAGTAGCAACTAGAAGTATGAAAGTGTGTGGGATAAGTCATGTTTTTCTGTGTACTAAAACATATTTTGGTCCATTGTTCCTTTGTGAGCCTTTCTATGGAAATTTCCATTTTTCTGTCCCTAACATTTACAGAAATATTGCACTCCACACATGCTTTGGGTGTTACAATTTATTTTTATTTTCAAATAAAATAATATGTTAACTGAACAATTACACCTTCTTGAGCCATCAATTTATAGAGATCCAAGCACTACAGGAGTTCTCATCCCCATGGTCAAGTACTGTCGATAAACACCGTGTTATTTTTACTAATTAATTAATTTTACAATTGTAAATGTGATAAACTACATTAGATTGTATGCAAAGGCTATTATTTTGAAAGAAAACACCACAATGACTTCCTTTTACATATTTCCTAAAGCCTGATAAAGAACTGGTCATGATTGCTCAAGTTTGTAATAATTTTTCTATTTTATTTCACATATTTGACAAGGTAATAATTTTACATCCATTGAATTATGTTACACATCAGAGCTAAAATATAAAAGATTGCATCATACTTAATTACTCATTTCTAACTGTTTTTTTCCCCATTGTTATAGCAAATAAATGGTTGCACAAATGGACAAAAACACAGTTTTAACAAAGGTGAGTGAAAATAATAAAGATAATCTCCTGAAGTGTTGCATCATCATTGTTATTATTAGTCTGTCATTCTGTCTACAAGGCTAAAAAATCTGAGGGAAAAAAATTGAAATTAAAACTGCCAAAAGATTAAGGTAACACATGTGACAAGAGGATAGTCTATATTTATCTCTAAAATACATGTATACAAAAGATATAACCAATCATTAATCTGTCATTTTTCTTGAGATCTAGGCCATCATCAATGACGTAACAAATAATGAAATACAGAAATTGATATGGAAAAAAATCTAATTACAGATCAAAGAGATCAGGAAATATGATAAATGTAATAACAATTCAATTACGATTTCAAACAACATGCACAGTCATAACAAATAAACTGTTTCCACAGACTTATTTGGACTAATTTCACTTTAGATCAATAGTATGCACCCTCACTGCGTAACTCTATCAGTGTCAAGACTGTCTGATTTTGGATTTCAAAGTAAAGGCCTTCAGAGATGTCATATATGAGCTATCTTTGTATGAATTTAAAATGCTATTATAAGGAAACTTGCTATTTCCACAGACCAGTTGAACAGGATACACCCTCACAGTGTTACTCAGGCAATATCACGTCAGTATAATTTTAGATGTCAAAATAATAGCCATTTGAAATAGTTCATGTATGCTTTTTTTTCATCTCACATCAGAATGCTGTTAAAAAGAAATTTCCTGTTTCCACAGACTGTTTCACTTCAGATCAAAAGGATACACCCTGCAGTGTTACTCAGTCAATATCAACTCAGTCTGATTTTGTATTTTAAAATAATAGAAATTTGAAATCAGCAAGTCTCCTTTGATCAGCATTCTGAAATCATCATCATCAGGGTGATTATTTTGAAATCCAAAGTCAGATTGACCTGATATTAACTGTATAATAATGAGAGGATATGTACTGTGGCTCAAAATTGGAATTAAACATTGACAAGAGGATTTTTCTATATAGTGGTGTTCTGAATGTAGGTAAAAACAACAACAACAACAAAAAACAAAACTCTAGTCAAGAACCGTGGGTAATCAAATTTCAAAGGACGATACTTTTCCAAACAGAATACACCCCTGTCTCCATTTATACGGATTATTATCGATTTGTTTTGTTTTTGTTTCTTTGTTTGTTTTTAATATGGACACTGTTGGGGTGTGCACTGTGGATCTAAAGTGAAATTATTATGTTAAAACAGCATATACTTTTATTATTTCTATTTAAATTTGGAATATATTTGTTTTAATAGTATTTTGTTTTTGTTTTCTAGATTTAATTTATGATTTACATATATCATTAATGACGGACTAAATGAGTAGATTGACTTGGAGATCCCTTTAATTTTGAAACCAGACCTTAGTTTCTCTTACCGTAATACCCATAACACAAAACAACGTGGGGGCTGGCTCAATCGTTTCAGTAAAATGATCCAGCTCATTAAATTCAAGGGTGCACATTAGTCCGCTTTATCTTCCCTCCATTTAACCTTTCAGAAATGGGCTCATTTATTGAGGGGCCCTCTGTGTAGTTATCCATATTGTCCTAAGTATTTTTATTAATTTAAAATAAAAATATTTATTGTTATTAATTTTTATTAATTTAAATCATTAATTAATTTTGAGTATGCTTATTACGTATGATTTTAGGGCTTATATCGTTTAGTTTCATGGTAAAATCAAAAGCAAATGTGACAGCATCAAAGCCTATCAAAGCCATCGGTTTGTGAGTGTGTGTGTGTGTGTTATGGTTATGAGGTCATTCTCCGCCGGCGCAGGCGCTTTGTGCTGAAACCGTTTCTCTATCTAACTGCGCTGCTTATTTGAAAAGCGAGCCCCAATAATCGCAGCTTCGGTTTTCACACTGGGGAACGTATCTACCTGACATTTAGCTACACGTGTAATCTACCTGTGTTCTGTTTTTTATCGCTGTGAGGACCGCTGAAACGCCACTGACCGTCACTTGTCTTATTGAGGTAGGTCGCTATCTGCCACCCGGCACAGCTCAACGTTAGCGCTTGGCGAGCTAACCTGCTAGCTACTAGCAATATTAAACTCACAAGCGCTAAGGAGTTAAACTCAGCTTATCATTATCAAACAGAAATAATTTTTAAATAACGTAAGATAGTCTACCACTCAGCTATGGATATTTGACTTGAGTCAACAAATTCAAACAAACAAACAAACAAAATAAAATTGCTAACTGCGTAATAACAATAACAAACAAGCGCTAATGTTATCAGATGGCGTTAAATTGAATGGAGCAGCCAGGAGGCGGGTCTAAGCGCGTTAGGCCACAAGAAAGACCCGCCTAGCTAGCTTTGAGTAGATGGGTAACAGTCATTGCTTTGGTAGCTGTTCAACCGATTACACCGGTCTAGCGCATCCGGTGTGATGTTAACCACTCGGGGATGGAAACGGGACCCGAATATGGTAAAGTTGCGAATTATAGCTTATTTTTAACGCCTACAGCGGCGTTAAAACGACGAGAGTAGTGCCAGTAATGTGGAATTGTAAATTATTAAAAGGGAATATATTTAAAGACGTGACGCGGAAATTGGTCACCGTCGGTTATCGGTTCCCTGTTAAGGATTAGCCAGCGCCAGCTAACTAGCTGTTTGCTAGCCGTACTCGTTAGCTCGCTAACAAAGAGCCTCTCCTCCTCCTCGCTTTGAACGAGAAAGTCGCTGTAGCTATTTCAAATTGATGTGCTGTCGCACATACGCGATGAGGACAGATGTGTGTGCAAGAGAGGATTAAATTAACTCCAACTCATATTGTGTTAATTTGCGCAGCCGTTTGTTTTATTTTTCTGAATGTTATCACAGCCAACGTTATCCGGTTTAGTTCTGACATTATGGTTGCCTGGTCAGGTAATGGCTGCAGCCGTGGCAGGATAAAGATGAATAAGTAACAAAATTTTCCACGCAAGGTTGCATGATTAAAGCAGGAGAGGAATGCCAAGCTGCCACTGCTGTCATAAAATGCTAGATGGCCCCTGTCTTTTGCGGATACAGTAAAAATGTTTATGGCCATATGCGGCTTTAAGAACTGTATTATAAACTGCGTTAGCCTTTCTGACAATATTAATTGACATTAAAATTGCTAATAATATTTTTCGCTTATATTGAAAACATTGCTTGCATTCTGTAACAAATCTCAGGTGCAGAATCAAATGTCATTGTCGTGTCCCTTGTCATATAGTTAAAATGCTTAGTTTTGCTGTGCAGTAGTTATAGATAATAGCTTGTGTTTAGTTAACCTGTCAGTTGAATTGTATTTTAATGGAGCACAGCTGAACAGTACCAGTTTAAAGGGAAATTTGCCATGTGTCACATGTGCTAGGGTAAGACGAAAATCTTTTTAGAGTGTAGATCTTATTTCTAAACCATAAATGATCTGGTGGTTAAGTGTATTACACTGTAAATGAAGTCATGTTTTAATTCTTAGATTCTGGTCTATAAGCTGTACTTAGCACTAAAACGGTGTTGTTAAACTTTTGTTAAACTGTATACACTGTAAATTCTGTCTGCAAGGCTAGATTAGACTAGATTTTCACAAGTCTTGTTGACATTTCATATAATGTTGGCTACTTTTCAAAACATGTCAGGAAGCTTTTGTTTTGTATTTTCTCTTGCAGTAATACTGGACTGGAACAAATTGAGACTGTCAGCTCATCCCGCCTTTGCCTGGACTGGGGAGTTTAGTGCCTGTGCCTGTTGTAGGCTGTGTGTGTTTGTTCCTCACCAGTGATTCCTTATGCTTGATCGAAGCTGCACCCTGTGTCGTACAGGATGGATGGTGTGGACTTAAAGAGACCTGTATATCAACATCAGCACTTTGTGTTCTGCTGCAGTGTTCAGTCCCTCTCCATTTGTAAGAGAACGCATCTCGTCTTACACCTTCAGTCCCCGAAATATATTTATAAAGATAGTCTTTGAGCAATAAAAAGGGAGAGCTGGAGATAGACATTGTAAATCTTTCTCTTTTTTTCCTATTTGAAGCACAGCTAGATATTGCTTACATAAGCCAAAATGGCAAGCATGAAAATATCCTTATTTTAATTTTTCAGTTATCGTACCTCCTTAACTCTTAGTGTGGGTGGTGGGATGTCGGAAAAGCCAGACGACAAAATGGTGAAGTTCCTGGCTCCCCCTCAGAAAAGTGGAAATGGCCCTAGTTCTGGTTCAGATTCGATGGTTGGTGAGGGTCGGCCAGTGGAAGTGAGACGCCGGCATCACACCATGGAACGCGATCGATGTAACCCTGAACACCGTTTTCTACGTCGCAGTGTCATCAGTGATTCTAATGCCACAGCTTTGGCCCTTCCTTTACCCAGCAAGATCCCCATCCCTACGCCTCAGCTGGTTCAGCCACAGGAAGCAGTCCTCCAGCAGCAAAAGACTGCTGGTACTTACTCACCCAAGGCTGAACCAAGTTTATCTCAAAATGAGAAGTCTGTGCATGGTGGAAAAGAGGGAGAAGGAAAAGATATAGAAATAGCCAGGGTGGCTGTAGTGCCTTCACAGCAAGAGCCTGCTAGAGTGCGTGACATCTGTGATGGAGAGGCAGTAGTAGCAGCTCACACGACACCCAGCCTGGAAACAGAATTGCCAAGTCAAGTTGAACCTGAAAGCGGCACTGAGGTGAAGGTACAACACGAGGAAGGAGAGGAGGCAGATAAGGACGCCAGAGCCCGAGCAGAGGCAGAGCAACGGGAAGCTGAGAAAAAAGTCCAAGAAGACATCGAGGAGGCTGAAACCAAAGCAGTGGGCACATCACCTGATGGACGGTTCCTGAAGTTTGACATAGAAATTGGACGTGGCTCTTTCAAGACAGTCTACAAGGGCTTGGACACCGAGACCACTGTGGAGGTGGCTTGGTGTGAATTGCAGGTATGAAAACGATTGTATACAACGATTGTACTTTGTAACACACACATATTGCCTCATTTCCCCCCCGTTTTTTTTGTTTTTGTATAATTTTTTTGTATGAGTCAAAATAATTTCCGTTCACCCTGTTACCTGAGCTGCAGCCACTATCATTTCCTTTCAACCAAGCATAGCTAGCATTTCCTGATTGTTTCGCTCTACATTTTTCATCAAAACAGCCAAAGAAAACTTCCCATTTCCTGATTTGACTTCACTCTAAGAGACTGGGAAGTTATTTGGTGCTATCAGTGCTTCTTTGATAAATGACTATTCCTTTATGACAACCTCTTTGAACACAGGAAATTACCTTTTGACAAAATGTGTGCAGAATTGTTGTAGTCATAATAATGATTTTCCACACTTACTGTTCACACTGTTAGAGGATACTGCTAGAAAATCTAAATCTAGTTTCTGGTATCTAGTGTAGAAATATAGAAAATGCAACTGAGCAGATTCTTGAAACCTCACTTTACTCCCAGATAATGGGACCTTTTGAAGCTTTGTCTAAAATTACATAAAAGATTATAAATCTCAGAAATCCCATTACTATTACTACTACTCAGCTAATAATGGCAACAGCAGGAATATTTAAGTTGACTTTATTAACATTCAGCATTCTTAGTCACAGATCTGACCCTTGACCTACTTTTGAGTGGACTTGTTTTACCTTTTTTTTTTTTTTTGGCTCGTAAAAAATTAGTTCTGCTGTCTGCTGTCCAGTTATAGCAGCTATATAGCCCAGAGCAAAGTTTAACCTCATTCACCACATGAATGTTTGCTCTCACTGTCATGCTTTACCCTGCCATGAGAGCAGTAGGACTCACACGGCTGCGGAGAGAACCACAGTAACACATGCTCACTGGTTTCAGAACAATGTGAAGATTACAGGCAAGTTCCCCTCCCCCTCTCACACAATCTCACGCATGCTCAATGCATTCCTTTTTTGAATGCTTGCCTGAATGTAAAATGGGTCAAATTCCTCACTGAGGAATCTCCTGCAGGCTGACCTGCCAAGGCCTGCTTGTGAACCATCAGTCCACCTCCCACTCTCTTTCAACTTTCTCACATTTTACTTTCCTAAAGCTCAAATATGTATAATACTTGGGCGTTAGTGCAGTATAAGATGGGATACCTTTTTAGTTGTGGCTTAAACTGCATTTAGTGGTGATTTTTTTTTTTTTGTAATTTAATTTGACCCCAAGACAGACTTCTTGCAGCCCCTGAACTTTCCACTAAGGTTGTTCATAGTAACATTTTTATTTTCTTCTTGAGCTCTCAGTTAGTATCACATCTGCAATTTGAGTGAACATAACATCTTACCCAGTAAATTTATGTTGAATTATTCAGAAGAGGGGGGGTTTCAGGGTCTGTCACTTCCCAAGCCAAATATGCAGATCCATCCGCTGTGGCGACCCTTTGGGAAATTAAGGGAGCAGCAAAAGCGTTTCCAAACAGCTGAGTTGTACTATTCTTGTTAAAGTCTCTTTCTGTCATTCTGCCTTTTAGTTGAGCTAAATCTGCCACAGCCTACTAAGAGAGAAGTCAGTTTGGGGTTTTAGAAAATAGTGAAAGTGAACTGTTGCAATGGAAGGACAGAAACAAAAAACAGAATAAAGATACAGCTTCTAAAACAGAAAAAAAAAAAAACTTTTATCTCAATATGAGACTGAAGAAGTCACTTGGATGGGTGACGAAATATTTCTCCCACTGAAAATGCTATGTCCAGATGAACAGAATCAACCTTTTGGGTTTTATCGCAATACTTTTGCTTTCATTAGTAGTGAAACCCATAAATGTAACTGAATTCTAGTTAGGTTTTTGTTCACTTGGCACTCTTGGCTTTTTCCTTCCACTGCCACCTCAGAAGTTTCAGATTAGAAACTTCAGCTGTACGTGAGAAGCTGAAATCCCCTTTACACGTCAGAGGTTTTTAAATGTAGTCCCACGGTCATCCAGGTGTTAGCATGCCTTCAAGATGTACAGAGATGGTAACACTGGGTGGTATATGTTTACACACATTATTTTATTTAGATACGTTATCTTACCCTAGTTTCATTAGTTCAGTGTTAGGGGCATTTGATGATACTAGAGGTGCATATATTTAACATAACAATCACAATGAGATTTAAGATTGAGTTGTTTAAGAAAGGAGTAGAGATCCAAGAAGTTAGTTTAATTGGCGTCCTGCTAATACTTGAGTCATTGATGCACAATAAAGCTTGCAACATATTTGTTAAGAATTTGGCGTGCCAGCTATGAGCAATAGCTTGTGGCTGCTTGCTCGTGAAACGAGCCAGGCAGGTTTCCCCTCGTAGGACCTTCAGTTTATCTCTAACATGATTAAAATGAAATAGTCACATTTGTAGTCCCATGCCTTAATGCTCTTTATACACACACACACACACACAAATAAACATGTAAATCTTTTTTTTAATGCATACATTTTTTAGAGATTATGTAGATGTAAATAAACCTTAAATTCTTCTGCAGTTTGATTTCACTCTGACCAAAGGCAGCAATTGCAGGATATGCAGCAACTTTGCCTGAAAACTGTCTTTGAAATTTTAATGAAGTGGCCCTGGCTTATTCAACCTATAAGGCAATCTGTGCTATAATTGACTGCGAATTTTTATTTGTTCACCTTTATTCACCCACTAATGAACCCCCACAGTTGTTTCACACTGCAGACATGTCTGAAGGATAAGTAGGTCACCCCAGAGAGGAAGTTGAGGAGGGACCAAAAATAAAAAAAGAAGAAATTAAGGAACCTCCCCTTTTGGCTCACTATTGCATTTTCAACTATTCAGTCTTCCAGTTGATGCTTCCACGCCTCCTTCCTCTCAAATACAGATTGAAAGATGAGTAAGAATACTCCAGGCATCCTGTATAAACTATGGCAGCCCTCTGTCCAGCTGGCAGATGGCATCCGCTGGAAGTGACATGCTACACCAAGTATTTTAACAGAGACCTCATCACATTTCATGAATCAAGGTTTTCAGGTTTACTGTAAGAGTTTAATTTTCTAATTGTGACAAATTTGGATAGAAATGTCACTGAGGAAAGCATTAAAGGGATTGCTCACTAAAAGCACAAGGTAGGCAGAAAACCCTATCTCAGCCTGAGGTCAAAGACCGGTGACACGAGGAACAACTATGTTGTACCAGTTTTACAAACAACAGTAGAACAGAAATACTTGGTGTGATACTGGTTCCCTTCTCACTCTTACTGTATAAAGGTCATGTCCTTTTTAGCTTGAGTCACTGATTTAGATTTTGAGAACACTATGGTAGTTTCTAACCTTTATTCAGTCAGGGTCGTGCAGAATATTTCTTCACAGAAAGAACATTTTTGGGTGGCTTTTTATTAAACCTGTAGGGAGCTGGTGAGGAAATAACTAACTTTGCAGTTGTTTTTTTTAATTGTATGGTTGGACTTTCACTCTTTGAATGCCATTCTGAACAAAAATTTTATTCCATAGGTTTCAAAGTGATACTATCAAACATATCAAATTTAAAAATACCTTTAAAGCACTACATGCTTGAATTTAGTTTGTAGAAAATAAAAGCAGCCACTGTAGTAGTATTGATCGGAAACATTTTAACAACATTCCCCACATGTTAAGGTTGTTTTATTAATGGATGAAGGTTTTAAATACAGTTGCAAACTTAATGTTAAAATCTGAAACTTTAGCAGAGTTTAACAAATAAGAATGAAGATAGATGACCTTTCAGTGGTTGTTTATTTATATAGTTTAAGAACTTTTTTTCTTTTTTGGGGTGGGGTGAGGGGTGATATACTCAGTAAGCACTGTATTGGTTTCTCTTCTAATTTGACTGGATATCTGTTTTTAATTGAAAGTCAATTAAAACATGATAATAATACTATTAGATTGTGAAAGAGCCTGGATCTGGCAGCTTTTTTCCCCCTTACTCACTGATAATTTGCGTGGCAGTCACAGTGATCTTTGACCTCAATGTCATGTTACATTGTCAAGAGAACACCAAATATTTCCACAGATACTGCATTTAATGCAACTAAATAGCTAACGGTGACTCTTTTTTTTTTAACATGGCTTTCAGCTGTTTGTCACATCTTAGCCAGAGGGCTCCATCTTGACCTTAGTGTCAGTGTTAGAGTAGGGCCCCAATAGAGCTGATCCTCGGCATTATCGTTAGCATTTTTTCCTTTGTCTATTTTTAGGCCTGTTAGGTTATTTATGACGTCCTTTGCCTCGAAGCCGCATTTTCCACTTTGCTTTTGAGATACTGTAGTTAACAGTCCTTCACACATTGCTTCAAACACCTTTTTTTAACACTTTATTTTTATTGGTCGTTTTGTATATTTTTTACAAAACATTCAGACCCTTAACAAGTACAGAGCATCTAGGCTAGCAAAGACGCATTTAGAGGAAAAAAAAAAAAAAAGACATCCATTTATGGTACAGTCAAATCAAATAGGTGAATTACAGCAATGATACATGATACTGGTGGTGGTCAGAGGGCCCGGTGGCTAGAGGTGGGA